GAGAAACCCCATTTCGACTAAAAATACAAAAAATTAGCTGGGTGTGGTGGTGTATGCCTGTAATCTCAGCTATTCAGGAGGCTGAGGGAAGAGAACTGTTTGAACCTGGGAGGTGGAGGTTGCAGTGAGCAGAGATCACACCACTGCACTCCAGCCTGGGCAACAGAGCAAAACTCTGTCTCAAAAAAAAAAAAAAAAAAAAAGTTCAATTAATGATAAGTAACCAATTAGTATCTTCTGAGATATAAAAAATATTTTGTTTATAAAACAATAAACTTAAAATATGGAAATTTAAAATATGATTGGGAAACTAAAAATTGAATTGAAGGATTAGAAGATAATGTTGAAGAAAAACCTACCAGAACAACAAAAAACAAGAAACGAAACATAGGGGAAATACATCAGAAAACTAGAGGATCAATGCACAAAGGCCAAAGGTGGATTGGAACATTAAGAGTTCCAAAAAGAGAACAGAGGAAAAGGTGAGGAAGAAATTAAGGGTGAACTAACATAAGAAAATTTGCCAAAACAGAGAATGAGTCTTCAGTGCTAAAAGGTTGACTGAGTTCCCCAAACAGACCAGTCCTAAGTCACATCAGTGTGAAATTCAGGACACTGTTATTAAGGAGAAGACCCTAAAGGTTTCCAGAGCCTGAAGAAAATGAAAATGTCATCGCACTCCTCAATAGCAATGCTGGAACCTAGAAGACAATGGAGGAATAAATGCCTTTAAAATTCCGAGTGAAAATTATTTTCAACCTAGAATTCAGTATCAAAACTACCAATGAAGTATGAAGAGAGAATAAATCAGACATGCAAGAATTTGAAAAATTGATTACCATGTTCCTTTTCCTAGGAAGATACTGGAGATGTGTTCTATCAAAATAAGTGGGTAAATCACGAAAGAGGAAAACGTGGGATTCAGAAAGCAGGAGAGTAAAGATGGTAAATCCCAGGCTAACAGTCAGGCAGGAGGCCTCAGCTGGTCCACGGGGTGGGGAGGATGGAGGTTGGGATGAGGAAGAGGATGGGAACTCACAGATTATCTGAATCACTTGTGCATGCAGTAAGAAAATCATATTGAGCTCAGGCACAGTGGCTTACACCTGTAATCCCAGCACTTTGGGAGGCCGAAGGGAGCAGATGATTTGAGACCAAGAGCACGAGACGAGCCTGGGCAACATAGCAAGACCCTGTGTGTGCACATAATTTTAAAAACTAGCCGAGTGTGGTGGTGTGCACCTGTGTTCCCAGCTACTTGGAAAGCTGAGGCAAGAGGATCACCTGAGCCCAGTGTTAGGTTACGAAGGGAAAAGACACATACACAGAAATAGGGCAGCTCAACAGCAAATGCAGCCTTCATGTCCAGCATAAAACCTATGGAAGTGGGGAACTAGCCTAATGCCAGAGCCCACCACTGCATATAGGCTGGGGGTACTTATAGGTATGGGCGGGAGCGGTCTGGGCAGTATGGCTTGCTACTCGCAGGATATTAATAAGATGTTCCCATGATGAGGCGGTTCTGGCCCTTGCTCTGGTGGGACGTCATTGTGATGTTCCTTGGACCTTTGTCCAGCGAGACACTAGAGGGATGTTTCTTTAGTTGGGCCTTTGTCTGCCTTGTGGTCAGGTGGTTAGGCAGGATGTTTCTCACAGCCCAAACCCCTGAGAAATGTTTCACTTTGACCCAGGTCTACAAAATAGTGGAGCTTAAAATGGTGCATTTTGGACTAACACCCTGGAGGTCGAGGCTGCAGTGAGCCATGATTATGCCACTGCACTCTAGCCTGGGTGACAGAGCAAAAACTCATCTCTAAAAAAGAAAAAAAAAAATCATATTGAGAGGAATGTGTAAGACCTGTTGAACATTTGGGGAAAATGGGTGATAAGTCTATGCAAAACAAGCAAATGAAGACAATTAAGACAATTATTCAGTCCAGAAAAAAAAAAAAAGTTGTTCAAAAAAGGAAACCTTATCAGATACGAATATTTTATTGATTCTCACATGAACATGTTTCACGTTTTAATGAGTCTGAAGTGCGGACATGTTTTTCAGTCAAAGGCATCTGACGGTCACTATCAGCCAGGTGCAGTCCTGATGTTGTCATGCCCATGCAGGTGTGAACTTAGTCATTTTTTCAGGTGTTCTGACCAGACAACAGCAATCCCTTGACGTTTCAGTCTACAAACAATTTTAGGATCACGTGAGGAAGGAATGTGAGTCCTGGTGTGTCAGAAAACCTGTGGGCGCCTATTGGTATGGTGCCCATTCTGTAAGCATCCAGACTTGCAGGATGAGGTCAATGGTATGGAAGAAAACTGTGGAGACCAGAGTGGAAAGCTCTTTAAGAATTATTGCAACACTGACACCTGGGCAGTTCAAAGAATGGTTCTGTAAACAGACAAACAACAAAACGAGCACTGACAACTCTAAAAAGTGATTCAGAAGAGATGAATGCTGAATTCAAAGGTTTAAGGATACCCAATTTTGCATATATTTTTTGTACGCACAAGATTGACATATATGATAAAAACATACATCTAAATAAGAGCACTTTCAATATATTTACATTAAAATTGTAACTAATAAGAGCATTTGATTGGCAGCAAATTTCTTCCTCAGTGGTTCACATTACAAATTGATGGTGCCATCCATTCAGTGAAATCTGGGATGCTAGCTGTAAATACCAATGTTGCTTTTAATTAAAACTGTCATTATAATGCGAGGATGGGAAGACAGGAAATGTTACGTGTGCTTTGGTGCGGGGAAGAATGGTGGTGGGTAAGTGGGAAAAATCTTCACCTCCGTAACAGGAATTTAAAAGATGAAGTCTAAGATTGATACATGTTTTTTAGAAATTGGTTTTTAAAAACACACCCAAAGCAACTAAAAGAGGTGAAAGTGGTTGTTTTTGGGAAAAGGGTGGGTTTGGGAGGAGTGGGTCACTGGGGTTTTAATTGATAAATTTTAATACTATTTAACTTTTTAAACTCTGTGCATCATTAATTTGATATAAAAAAAATTAAGTAAATAAATGGTCTCAAAAAGCCATTCCGTGCTGTTATCTCTATAAATATATATATTCTTTTTTGGCCATATGGTCTAACTTTTGGTTAGAGAAAGAGGCTGCAGGATGTAGCAGAAAGAGCTTAGTTCTGATATCAATTGTCTGGATTTACATCTTGAGTTTCTCGCTTACTAGCTGTGTGACCTTGGGCAAATTGCTCCGCCTCTCTGGACTTTAGTTTTCTTCCCTGTAAAACTAGCAAAATGCTATGTGTTTCACTGGTTGTTGTGAGGATCAAAAAGAAGTGTGTCAGGTCCCTGGCACAGTGCCCATCCCATTGTTGAGTTCAGCAGAACTTTAACTCCTTTCACGGTGCAGCCCCCTCAGTGGGATCCTGCCTCCTCAGGAACAAGGCTGACCCCTTCGATATGCTCCTCTGCTCAGAGATTCCAGGACCCTTTGCTCATGCAGTCCTCCCAAAGCCACCCACCGTCCAGGGCTTTTGGCCTGCATATTTGCAATGTTTGTGGCTCATTACTTTTTTCTGCCCCCAGGAACCCCAAGGTTTCTTGTATCTCCTCCTTTATATTAGGCTTAGCCTGAGAGCTGATGGGTTCTGCCATATGACAGTGCTCAGTGTTCAGATGAACACTGTAGCTCTGTGGACAGACTCGGGTCCTTTGCTCTTCTCCAAGGTCTGGGAGACACAGAAGCCTGGGTTCCCAACTCGTCACTCAGCTCCTGAATCCAGGGTGTACAGGAGTCAGCCTCCCTCTGCCTCACAAAGCAGCCATCACTGATGCAGGTTGGCGTGTCCTGGAAAGCAGAGAGAGAGGCCTGCTGCTCGCTCTCCCGGCCTCTGCTCGCTCTCCTGGTACCCTGCCTTCCCTCCCACACTGCGGCCTCTGGAGCTCTGCAGGCAGTAACTTCATGGCTAGAAACAGCTTTCTTAGAAATTAAAAGCAGGTGGGCTCTTTTTCTTTCCTCCCCATTTGGATGAGAGAGCTGTTTGTTCAGGGCTCCCTCTCCCAGGACATGTAGGCAGTTCATGTTTATACATGTGACCCAGAAATATGTAATGATCCACACCAGGGCTGTTGACAGTGCTTAGACGTGGAGGGCATCATGCCTCCCTTCAGCTGCTGTTCAGAGAGAGTAGAGGCAGAATAGATGAGGGGAAGAAAAGACCCTGGGTTGAGGGCAGCCCTCTCCTAACGCCATGGGTACGTGAGAACATGGTACTGTCCTGCAGGTCGCCACATGAAAGCTGTGTCCCCACACACATGACCCCATGGCAGAGCACGAGGGATGCTACCAGGACAACCCGAAGGAAAGTGCAGATGGTGGGGGTAGGAGGGAGGAGAGCAATTAGGAAAGGGGGAGTCTCAGCCCTTGAGACTATGGGAACACACACAGCTTTGGCATCAGAAATGTGGGCTCCAGACCCTGCTTTACACGAGGTTCTGCGTGACTTGCTTAGGTCACACAGAACCTTGGTTTCCCCATCTCTTAAGGAAAAAGCCTGGAGTTGTTGGAAACTTAAATCTCCTACATTCAGGGTGTGCCAAATCTTTTCTCCCTTCCTGCCTCCCCCTCATTTGAGGGCCATCTGGCACAGAATAGGCGCATTTCCCACTCAGGGCCTGGGGTGATATTGAAGGTCCTTTGGCCACTTCCAGCTCGCTGGCTGACTCCTAGGACAGAGCTGTGTGGGGATGACGAAAGCTGCAGAAGCTGTGCCTCCTCTGACCCAAGCAGGTGGGACGGGTGTTGGGCTGAGGGTCCCCACCTGTAAAAGCCCTCTGGGTAAGGAGATTGAGCAGCCCTCCCAGGTCCATGTGGATATAGAGAGAAAAGCCCCCACCCTGCAGGCTGTCCCTCCTTCGCAGCTTCCTGTCCACTCCCGGTACCGGCTGCTGCCTGCCCTGGTGGTGAGTGGTGGTGAACGACACAGTCATGCAATGTCTATGTGTTCCTGTGTTCCTCCCCCAGGCCACAGAGTGGGCCTCCAGTGAGGACACACGACGCTCCTGCCAAAGCAAAGGGAAGACTGAGGTACGTGGTCTTGGTGGTCCGGTGGCCTGGAGCTGGAAGGAGGCTTGTGGTTGTGGGGATGGAGGGGGCACTGTGCGGACATGAGGTCCCCTGCTGGAGAGGCCTGGCCAGGGTAAGCTGGGGCTCCTTGAGCAGGTGGGGACACAGCCCTGCGGCCAGATGGTCCTGAGCATCTGAGTGAGCAGTGATACAGAGAGATGGCCTTGGTGGGAGGGGCGTCCACAGATGTGACCTGGACATCAGGATAGGTGGATCTGGGGTCGAGGGGAGTGTCTGAGAATACCTGTTGACATCCATGATGCAGTGGTGTGAGAGTGAGACACCCAGCATCGCACCTGGAGAGCTGTGCTGTCTGCTTCTTTCCTTCCTGCCTCAGGAGGAGTGTCAGAACTACGTGCGAGTCCTGATCGTCGCTGGCCGGAAGGTGTTCATGTGTGGGACCAATGCCTTTTCCCCCGTGTGCACCAGCAGACAGGTGAGCGACTCAGGGCAGGGCAGGCTGAAGGGGGCACCATGCGGGGTTTCTCCTGTCCGGGCACACAGCCTTGAAGGGGGGTTGACAAATTTTGCAAACAAACACACAAAACAAATACAAAAGGATGCCCAATTAGATTTGGATTTCAGATAAACAATAAATGATATTTTAGCATAAGCATGTTCCCTGAAGTATTTGGAATAAACTTATACTAAAAAATTACTCCCTGTTCGTCTGAAATTCAAATTCAACTGGGCCTTCTCTATTTTATCAATCAGACTTACCTTGGAGGGTCATGACTGGGGCTGGAGACAGATGGACCCACTGGGAGGACCTTTCCCTCCCTGAGGGAGGCTCCCTCAGAAGGACCATGGGCTGGGCAGTGAGAGGACGCTGGAGGAGGGGAGAGGCCCGGAGAGACTGGGTCCCACGAGGAAACAAAACTTGGGTGGAAAGAACAGGCAGCACCAGGGCCTCAGGGAACAGTGTCCCCTTCTCCCCATTGTCCCCAGGTGGGGAACCTCAGCAGGACGATTGAGAAGATCAATGGTGTGGCCCGCTGCCCATACGACCCACGCCACAACTCCACAGCTGTGATTTCCTCCCAGGGGGAGCTCTACGCGGCCACGGTCATAGACTTCTCAGGTCGGGACCCTGCCATCTACCGCAGCCTGGGCAGCGGGCCACCACTTCGCACTGCCCAGTATAACTCCAAGTGGCTCAATGGTAAGGAGCCCCCAGTGCGAGGGGTAGGGACTCCCTTGGTTCTGGTCCCGCCAGCCCACACTGAGTTCCCGTATTCATCCTCATTCCTGTCTAACCTCTGCAAGGGCTCCCACTTGCCTCATCAAGGAAGAAGTCCAGAGTAGGGCAGACGTTCATCCAAAGACCAGAGCATGCTGGAGATGGACCCCAGATGAAATCACAGATGGTGCTCTGAGGACCCATAACAGATGGAGGGTGGACTATTAGGGGAGAGTGAGATAATCAGGAATTGTTTAGGAAAATAAGTTATGGATAAGAAGAAATTATGAGGCCAGGTGTAGTGGCTCATGCCTGTAATCCCAACACTTTGGGAGGCTAAGGCAGGAAGATCTCTTGAGGCCAGCCTGGGCAACATAGCAAGGTCCTATCTCTAAAAACAGTAAAAACTAAATTAGCCTGGCGTGGTGATGCACACCTGTATTCCCAGCTACTCAGGAGACTGGGGTGATAGGATGCCTGGAGCCTAGGCGTCTGAGACTGCAGTGAGCTATGGTCACATCCCTGAACTTCAGCCTGGGCGAAAGAGCGAGGGCCTGCCTCTTAGGAAAGAGAGAGAGGTTATGGAAAGGGCCATATGAGTTTCCTAACCCTTGGGGTTGAACCCCTGTTTTCTCACTAACTATTAGGTTGCACAAAACTGATCCTGGTTTTTGCCATCAAAAGTAATGGCGAAAATTGCAATTATTTTTGAACCAACCTAAATAGCTGTATGTCCTTGAGCAAGTACTTAACCTCTGTGTGCCACAATGTTGTTCTGTAATATGGGGATAATCATAGGATTTACCTCAGAGGTTATGTTGATCAACTGGGTAAATCCCCATTAAGTACTTAGGATATTGTCTGGCACCCAGTGAGAGGTGGGTGGTAACACATGGTTAATATTGTAGCTACACTTGGTATTGGAGGTGGGAATATAGTTAGTTAGGGCCCCCAAGTCACTAAGCTTGCAGGGAGAGGATGTCAGGGTGCCCATCTGGGAAAACTGAAGCAGTTGAGTCCTCCCGACTCTGCCCTCTTCTTCCCTGCTGGCCTGCCCTGCCCTTTGTTCCTCTTCTGCCCACCCAGAGCCAAACTTCGTGGCAGCCTATGATATTGGGCTGTTTGCATACTTCTTCCTGCGGGAGAATGCAGTGGAGCATGACTGTGGACGCACCGTGTACTCTCGCGTGGCCCGCGTGTGCAAGAATGACGTGGGAGGCCGATTCCTGCTGGAGGATACGTGGACCACATTCATGAAGGCCCGGCTCAACTGCTCCCGTCCAGGCGAGGTCCCCTTCTACTATAACGAGCTGCAGAGTGCCTTCCACTTGCCGGAGCAGGACCTCATCTACGGAGTTTTCACCACCAACGTGTGAGTCCTGCCCTCTGCCAGCCCCTTCCTTGTGATGTCAGGAGCTGGCCTGGCCTCACAGCCTAGTGGGCTTCATCTATAAAATGGGGACTGCCATGCCTCCTGCCCAGGGTCGTCTGAGGCTTTTGTCTTACTGCTTCTAGAGTGATAAGCCCGTGTTCTTGGCTGCTGGGAAGGGCAAGCCCAGGTCAGATATGAATAAAGCCAATGGATCTGGCTGAGGTTCCATGAAGGAGGAACATGCTGGTGATGAAGGTGGAAAAGCCTGCCATGGATGACAGGATGCAGCCATGTGGGGCAGGGAGGCAGGCAGCAGTAGCCTCAAGGAGGCTGAACAGGGATTCCCTAATGTCCCTTCCAACCTCAGGACTATGTGATTCTGCTCAGTCTAACCAGCAATCTTCTGGTAACCCTGCCATCACCTCCCATCTAGACTCTCCTGGAAAACACAGGCTGGGAATGATAGTCCCTTTTTTTTCTAGGTGTGAGGACAGGTAACACTTACAGATCATGGGACCCTCCTCCCACTACCTTCTTCTGTGTAAGAGGCTAACCCAATCAGGTGACTTTCCTGTAGACCAAGCTTGTCCAGCCCACAGCCTTCCCCCTAGCCTGTGGGCAGCAGGTGGCCCTGGACAGCTTTGAATGAGGCCCAACATAAATTTGTAAACTTTCTTAAAACATTACAATTTTTTTTTTGAATTTTTTTTTTTAGCTCATCAGCTATTGTTAGTGTTTAGTGTATTTTATGTGTGGCCCAGGACAATTCTTCTTCCAATGTGGTCCAGGGAAGACAAAAGATTGGACGCCCTGATATAGACAATGATGGATGGGCACTGAGACCAAGGAAGGCACTGGCCACACAGTGTTGGAAGGAACATCAGAAACCTATGAGCCATGGAGCGGTGTTTGCTCACCTTGGGCCCTGGATAGCAGCCACTATATGAGGACCAAGCTAGCTATCGGAAGGACAGTGTGAGGGGGTGGACAGAGATGAGAGTCAGGAGTAGGTGGTGAGGCATCAAAACTGACACCATCAGTGTGGATTGTAAATAGTGTATTTATTGCATGCCTTCTCCATGCAGGTGCTTGTCCTGCTAGGGGTGGGGTGTCAGGGAGCAAAAGCAGACATCACTCTGTACTTAAAAGCTGAAATGGGGTGATGGATATTAAACAACAAATTTTAATCATGATAAATGCTATAAAGAGAAAGGGCAGTATGCGGAAAAGCCTCTAACAGTATAAAGGAGTGGTGATCAGGGAAGGCTTCCTGTAGGAAGTGACATCTATAGGATGAGTAGGAACAAACTAACGGAGAGGAGCATTCCAGCCTGAGGGAACATGTGCAGAAGTTTGAGGTGGGAAGAAATGTTTTAGGAGCTGAGCAGAGATCAGTGTGGCAAGAGAGTTAAGGGTGAGGAGGAGAAAGACAGAAGAGGAGAGTGAAGGGGTAGAGCAGGGAGGACATGTCCCAAAGGACACTGCAGACTGCTTTAAGGGCTTTAATCTTTATTCTAAGAGCAAGGAGAAATTATTCACAGGTTTGAAGCAGGCCAGCCACCAGCTCAGAGGTGCATTTTGAAATGCTCACCACTCTGGCTGCTGTGTGGAAAATGGATTAGGAGACTAGACAGGCTGCAGGCAGGCCACCAAGAGAATAGCACAACATTTGGGGGACTGAAGGGGGGCTGAAACCAGGCAGAGGTGGAGAGAAGTGGACACATTTGGGAGAAGAACTAAATGCGAAGCATAGAACTAGAAGCATTTGGTATGGTGGTATCCTTTCTGTGACCTGTTCATGCAAGATTCACGGAAACATGCTTCTGTGACTGAAAGGGCCTCCTGAACTCAGGGTGTGGCAGGCGACAGCATAAATCAGTGGTTTGGTAACCAGCTTTTGTAAATAAATAAATCAGAATAGAATGGAATAAAATATCAGAGTCTCACATATTTAGTAGGAATAAGTTCATAAAAATTCATTATGGATGTGTGCATACTATACTGAGTTGTAGGGTAAAATTTCTCTCTTACCGTGGGCCTGAGCCACAATGTTTGAAAGCCACTGAATTTCAGCCTCCTGCTGCATAAGGGAGGGAGGAAGGCAGTAGCACAGGAGAATTCACCAGTGGGTCGTTCCCAGGGGGTTTGCAGAGTGTGAGGACCACATCTCCCTTTGAGATGCCCCGTGGTGCGCCAGACTCATCATAGATGCTTACAGAGCCTTGGGGATTGGATATGACAGCTGGCTGTGGGGTTTCTGAGAAGGGTGCCAGGTCTTATAGGGAGAGCCTTGTCCCACCACCTCTTGTCTTTCAGAAACAGCGTCGCGGCTTCTGCCGTCTGCGCCTTCAATCTCAGTGCCATCTCCCAGGCTTTCAGTGGCCCATTTCGCTACCAGGAGAACCCTAGGGCTGCCTGGCTTCCCATCGCCAACCCCATCCCCAATTTCCAGGTACAGAATTTTCCTGTCTTCACACACTGCCTTCCCCCCAGGCTACCAGCCACAAGCTGATTCCCAACTGCTTAGCACAGACAGACACCAGACCTGACCCTGCCAGCCCATGCCCATTGCTGGGGTCCACAATGGTTCCCTGAGGGTATTAGCCTCTACGACTGTGAGGGAGAAGGGAAGAGTGGGTGAGTGGCAGTGCAAGGGAGCATGCTAGGAGCCATCTCTAAATGTGAGCCCACGCCTCCAGGGAGGCAGGGTAGTGGGACCTCAGTTCTCCAGTGTGGAGAACCACGGAAGCACTACACATGCTGTCTGGCTGGAATTTGGGGATGTTAACTGGAACTTTCTCGCAGTGTGTTCAACATGGGTACTAATTCCTGGAAGTGGTCAGTACTAGGGGTGGTCAGCGCGTGGTCAGGGCCCAGCCATGGGTAATACGAGCATCCCCCATCCTGTAACGGAGAGGGGGAAAGAATGAGGGGGCAGAGGAGGTTGCTGATGGTTGATTTTCATGTTTGCCCAGCTTCCTACCCGGGAGGTGGGATGCAGCTGGGAAAGACCTCAAGCTTTGCAGTCCTACCATCCTGACCCAGATCTAGCCTGTCTCTATGTGACCTTGGACAAAAAAGTCAGCCAACCTCCTTCAGTTTCTTTTTCCTTATCTGGAACTAGGAATAATACCATAAGAGAACATCTCACAGTTAATTGCGAAAGTTCATGAGCCTGAAATGTAGGAGATGCTCAGTAAAACGTGGTTGGCTTCCAGCTTCGGTTTCGAAATCATAAGAACTTTGAGCTGGTAGGGACACAGGAGAGGGACAGCAGGGTTTGGCCCAAGGTAGGAGAGGGGCACCTGCAGCAACAGCATAAAAATCACTGGACACTCATCCACACTCAAATTATCCATTTTTAGGCAGTCCAGTCCCCTTTGTTCTCCTCCCTCCTCTTCCTCAACCCTGGCAGGATCCTCCTTCCCCATCTCCCCAGCCTCCTGTTTTTCGTTCCCAAAGAACGAGTCCATCCCACCCTGGAAAGGGTGCAGGACTCCCAGCAGGGATGCTGGGGGTGGGGGATGCTGGAGAATCAGCGTCGGTGGCTGTGGCCACCTGGGTTGCCAGGAGGAGGCAGCCGGCAGGGGATCGCTGCAGCCCAGGTGGCCGGGCGCGTGTAACCCAGTTACCCGCCGCAGTGTGGCACCCTGCCTGAGACCGGTCCCAACGAGAACCTGACGGAGCGCAGCCTGCAGGACGCGCAGCGCCTCTTCCTGATGAGCGAGGCCGTGCAGCCGGTGACACCCGAGCCCTGTGTCACCCAGGACAGCGTACGCTTTTCACACCTCGTGGTGGACCTGGTGCAGGCCAAGGACACGCTCTACCACGTGCTCTACATTGGCACCGGTGAGCCGGCCCGGCCCAACCTGGACTCCAGGTGGGGGGTAGGTTGAGAGACGGGGGCGGGGCTGCAAGCTTCCGGAGCCTTCAAGGCCACCTTGGTCTGGCTTCCCCTCTCCCCCAGAGTCGGGCACCATCCTGAAGGCGCTGTCCACGGCGAGCCGCAGCCTCCACGGCTGCTACCTGGAGGAGCTGCACGTGCTACCCCCCGGACGCCGCGAACCCCTGCGCAGCCTGCGCATCCTGCACAGCGCCCGCGCGCTCTTCGTGGGGCTGAGCGACGGCGTCCTGCGAGTCCCACTGGAGAGGTGCGCCGCCTACCGCAGCCAGGGGTAAGCCGGGACGGGGGCGGCTCCCGAGGTCGGCCCTGCCAAGCACACTGCGCAGACGGCGCTTAAGAGGCGGGGCTTTGGACCCGGGAGACCTTGGGTCGGTCCCCGCAGCCTCCACTAGTGAGTCTTAGGACGAGTCGGTCAACCTTTCTGAACCTTGGTTCTCTCCTCGTAAAGCATTTTGCAAGGTTTTGTGAGGGTTAATTGGGATAATCTCCATAAAGCACTCATCAGTACTTGGGGGAAGGGTGTGCTTAGCAAATTTTGATGGGTGGCTGTTATCCCTGCTGTCAACCGCGTAGCTAGGGCCAGTCAACCATCTCTAGCCCAGTTGATTTATTCTCAGTCGCTTCAGCACAGAAAGGTCTTTATCTTTGAAGCCACAGCACTCATTGCCCAGGTGCAGATGGAGATGATGCTTTGAGTCAGCCCCACATTTTTGCTTCTCTTCCTTCCTTCCCTCCTTGGAAGAGGTAGAGAGGGCTGCTGCAGGTAGGGCAGAGGTGAGGCGCCACGTGAAGGAGTTGCCCTGGCTTCCCACTGCTTCTGCTTGGTTCTCCATCCCATAGCTTCATATATGTGGACTCGCAGATTTGACAACTGTGGCACCAGTTTTTAATGGGGAAACCAAAGCCTATTCCAAAGCCAAATGGAAATGTAGCCCAGATTGCTACCACCTGAGGCTCTCATAGGCTGCATCACCTCATTTTCATTATAATCAGAAGCTGGCATCACCACAGCCACAGGAGCTTCTGTGACCTTTGCAACTGAGAGTTCTGGCTGTGCCATCTGTCCTCAAGATTTAGAAGGCAAATGGTATCCGTGATACAGGGCTGTTCTTCAGCTCCAGCGGGGTGTGCTAGGAGCCAGGCAGAGGCCTGTGGGGCCGGTAAGAGCTGGATGATCTTGGAGAGGCAGCCGGGGAGGGGGAGCATCAGGGCCAACTCTCCAGTTCCCTTCAGCCCCAACACAGGGCTCCATCAGCGAGATACCACACACTTACTAAGCCCTACCATGTTCAGGGCACTTTGTAAGACTGTTGGTGTGAGAGGAGGCAAGAGAAATAGGCCCCAAACACTGACTTCCCTCACACCTCCAGATGTCTGGGTGGGAAGAGAACCTTGGCCTTATCAGGTATGTGGGGAGAGATGGTGGGGTGTGGTGGGAAGGACTTACCTGGTGGAACTAGACACACCTGGGGCTCCATCTCAGCTCCATCATCTACCAAACGTATGATCTTGAATGACTGAATCATTTTGAGCTTTGGCTCTCTCATCAGAAAAACAGGGAGACATTTGATGGAGCAAATGATGTTTAACATAGGCAGAGTTGTAAAGATTGGGACTAGCATTCATAAAGTGCCCAGTCCAGCGAATCACATGGTATCTTTTGTACTTTTTATCTCCTCAAATGCGTTTAGGAGCCCTCCAGCCTCCTAGGCCCTCTGGAGTCTCATTGAATATAGACAGTACAGCTTGGCAGTGAATCACAGGCTTTTACATATGGCTTGTTCTCTAAGAGGTTGTAAATCCTTAAAGGCAAACCCAGTGTCTCGGTATTTTTTACACTCCACCAGGGAGCTCCGCCTAGCCCAAGGCACAAAGTGGCCTTCCACACATGACTGATCCTTCAGTTGACTGATTGTTTGGCTTGAGAGGAGTTTGATGCAGGAGAAACATGGGGAATGGGGCCGGAAACTGGATTGAGGTCAGCTGACAAGGCCAAAGGAGGATTCTGACTTGAATCCTGTGGCTGTGGGCACTTAAGTGATCCTAGAGCAGTGGAGTAGAGTCATGGGCAGTGTGAAGAGATCAGTCAGACAGTGGTGAACAGGATTGTCACATAGCAGGTGGGCTAGTACGGCTCTAAGTCAGATCTGAAGGAACGGGGCCTGCAGTGGACAGGAGGAAGGAAAGGAGCTGGGACATTTCACCACTCACGCGTTCTACAGAGGAGGGGCTGGGGGCGTTGTGTAGTGTGCCCACTGCATTCCTATCATGGAGCAAGGCAGAAAGAGGACAGTTTGGAGTTTGGTGCTTTCATTCTATTTTGTTTCTTGACTTTGGGATAGGAAGGAGCCCTTGGTGTGTACAGTGAAAACTCTGCTAAAAAAAGATAGGCAAATCCAAAAAGTATGAAATGCAAGGTCACAGCTGGGTGTGGTGGCTCATGCCTGTAATCCCAGCACTTAGGGAGCCCAAGGCGGGCAGATCACCTGAGGTTGGGAGTTCGAGACCAGCCTGACCAATACGGAGAAACCACATCTCTACCAAAAATACAAAATTAGTTGGGCGTGGTGGTGCATGCCTGTAATCCCAGCTACTCAGGAGCTTGAGGCAGGAGAATCCCTCGACCCAAGAGGCAGAGGTTGCAGTGAGCAGAAATCGCGCCATTGCACCCCAACCTGGGCATTAAGAGCAAAACTCTGTCTCAAAGAAAAAAATGCAGGGTCACATTATCACAAGATTAGTAAAATGGCTAAAGCAAGTACACACAGTCACCAAGCTGTGCGCCAGACTGGCTCTGGGAGTCTGGGAGCCAGCTGCCACAATATATTAGCATTTGCACTATTGTGGCGTGTGTTGTCACAGGGTTTTACTGTGTCCTAGGATAGACATTTCATGCTTTTTTCCTCATTCCTTCCAAAGCTGGCAGAAAGATGGGGGTGGGTAAGCAGAGGCCTCTTTAGGACCCCTCCTCTGCCCAGGATCCAGGGTCTTGTCTCCAACTGCCTCTTTTCCCTCAGGAGAATCTCAGCCCCACAGGGCACCACCAAGACCTGGCCTGGCCAGAGAGAGACCACAAGGAGGAACCTGGGGGATAAACTAGTGACTGGCTCTGCAAAGCAGGTGTTTTATGCATGAACCACCACTTTCCTCCAACCAGCATGCCTTTCACCCTGCCTTTGAGAAAGGTCCTCTACCCCATCTCATTCACAGATCTCCCCTGGCTGCCCCATGAGCAAAGGGAAGGCCCACCCTCAACTATTTTTTGCTCACAAGCTCCAGAAATACTTTTTCCACCCTGGACAGCTCCCACTGTGAGACTACTGCGCCACAGTGCTGGAATCTGCCCGCCTGCCACTTCCACCATCCATCTCTGTCCCGCCTCCAAGCCCATGCAATGAACCTGTTCCTTTTCGTAATGGCTGCTTGAGACACTGCAGTTAAAAAAAAAAAGGAAAAAGGGAGGCATGTTGATATATTATTGGTCTGATGGCTCCTTTATGAAAAGTACTCTAAACTGCCACCATTTCTACAGTCAGAGACATCCTTTAAGTCTCTTATCCTTGGAGCTTTCATTTATCTTAAGAGTGCTCCCTGCTCTGTAAGCTTTGAAGTGGCCTTTGGCCAAAAGCAGAAAATGTGGTTCCACTTGAGCCAAGGAGGCAGCTATCCCTTTTATTCATGAGAAGGAGAGCTCGGGCACTGGCCCCCAGAAGTCTCAAGGGTCCCCTCAGGCTGCCAGGGAAGGGGAAGGGCAGGCATGTCTGTGGAGAATCTGGTATCCTCTTTCTTCTCTGGGACTTAATTGAGAGCAGGGGAAGCTGAAGGGGTGAGAGGGCCTGGAGAAAGGAGGCTGGAGCCAGCATCTACTCCACGTTTTTATTCTTTCCTATTCTGCCATGGTTTGGAAAGACAACACACTCACCCCTTGGGAATCTTGTCAAAAGTGGCGCCTGGCACAGCATTTCTCAAACTTGCTTACTCTGCTGAGTTACCTGAGGGGTATTTAGATGATTTCAAATGCCTGGGCCTATTTCAGTCCAAAAAACCCAAATACAGGTGGGTGGGCTTTTTGGTTTGCTTAAGCCTTTTAAAGGGTGCCCAGGAGATCCTAATTTGCAGGCAATACTGGAAATACTCCCGCTGTAGAGCTGGTTAGGCTCTAGATGTAAGAAAGAGCAAGAAGCAAATTACATTTCTCTAGAATCTTCTGCATTTGTCTTATATAAGCTGATTCAGGTTTTTTGCTCTTACCCATTTTCTCTGCTGGCAGATATTTGTTTTTAATGGATAGAATATTATTTATTATTATTGGTTACTGGCTATGGCTAATTTTTTTTCCCAGTGAAATTATGTCACTTATAAATGCCACATCAGCTGCCTCTAGAGGTTGACACCCCTTTTTGAGGGCTGAAGGAAATAAATTCAGGAGTGGGCTTTGCTGAGTTCTGATTGGTTGAATTTGCTAGCAGTCCCAATGTCAGCCAGTAAGCAGAGTCGCGAAATCACAGGTTGCTGGGACGACCGTGTACATGTGTTGCATGTAGTCATGTGATGTCCAGTTTGATGGATTCCGCTGATAAAATACCCTCAGATCAAACCATCGACCCCAGAGGAAAATATGACCACACTTGTCTTGTACAATTTACCCAAGTTGTCCTTGAGAGAATAAACTAGAAACAGATTCCTGAGCAACAGTTGAGTATTCTGGATTCCTGCGTGGGCCAGAGTGTGCTTACCAGGCTCCCATGAGTGCCTCACTATATGAGGCCGTGGTTTGCCCTGAGCAATGGATAGCACTATCTTCTTCACCCTCTTCTTTGTATAATTTCTCACATAACCTCATTTTTCTCTGGGGCCTGACATCTATTGAACTCATTGAAAGTTAAGAATTCACCTGACAGATGACTCTTTACTCTCCTTGAAGCTTCAAGAGATAAGAAAAATTCTACCCGGGAGACACCAAAAGCTGCAACTCTTGGCTTTTTTTTTTTTTTTTTTTTTTTTTTTGCTGTATCACTTTAGCCCCAGGCATCTTTGGCCCCTTTGTGCAATGGGAAGATCCCTCTGCAAACTCACAAAATGATGTGAACTCCTCATCAGGCTCCATTTTCTTTGCAGCCCAGTACCTCCTTCTTTAAAGCCTTTTCTGTTTTCCAACCTCCAATTTCTGAGCCCCTGCCCAGTGGTCTCTCCAGACCCTCTTCAGCAGATTGGCTCAGAAGGGGGTGGAAGCTGGGGACAGGAGCCAGAGGGATCCAGGTGTCCCCCAGGATTGGCGGTGGGCTGAGTGTTGAAGGGACCCTCCTTCTGGCACCTGGGTTGGATACTCTCTGTACTCAGCAATGGATGGCAAAGCCTGATTCCGTAATCTCCATAGACTTCTCCCCTTTGAAGTCCCACTAGCAGAGATTAGATTTTTTCTGTTAAAAAATTACACGAGTAAATCAAAAGGAGAAAAGGAACTCTAGACTATGAGAAGTGGACTACTTGGCACATGCATCAGTGTGTAAACCAGTATCACTTTGGGGGCCCCTACAGAGAGACCAGCCCTCAGGGTTGAGGAACCGGGAACTGGGATGTGACCTTCTGCAGCTTGAGCTCATTCTCATGATGCTAAAGCACTGGACTCTGATTCCTGCCACGAAGCAACACAAGCATGTGGGTGCCCCAGGTGACCATGGACAGCACCCAGGTGTCTGCTGATCCTGTGCTGTGTTTTGAGGGATGGGCTGATATTCACTGTGTGAAATCAGACAGCCTCCTGTGGGAAGCAGAAGTGTGAGGGGGAAAGCGTGGTTGGAAAGCTCAGGTCTGGGCCCAGCTCCACCACATACGATCTGTATGATATCGGGAAAACTCCTTCCTCCCCTCACCTTTGTAAAATGAAAAGGTTGTGTAGTGGATCCCAGTGGTTCTCACCCAGGGAGCTCTTAAACACTGCTTTACCCCCAGAGAGTGTTGATTGGGGTGGGCTGGGATATTATGTTTTTGAAAGATCCTCAGGTGATTCTAATGTGCAGCCAGGGTTGAAAATGGCTGGACCAAACCATCTGTAAGGCTTTTTCCATCTTTAATGTTTTATGACTCTATGATCATAGCATGTGTCAGGGAGGTACTAGCTCTTTGGGTTTCTGTTAACCACATCTGCTCCTGTGGCTGTGGGTGAGGAGTATGGGGTATCCATACTTGGGGAAAGCACTGCCGTCTCTGTTAAATGTGCAGTCTCTGGAGGATGAGAGTTTGGGTTTTTCCCAGATAACATCGGGATAATAACAGTGCCTACATCATTGGAGTGCTGGATTTAAATTAAGTTATGCTTATAAAGTGCTTAAAATGATGCCTTACACAAAGTAAAGGCTCAATGAACTTCATTATTATCAGGGAGGACAAATGCATGGAAAGTGGTGTGCAGAGGGTAGTGTCCAGGTGTGTTCTTGAGATGCAGGTGAGGCTGGGAAGCCAGTGGGCTTGAGTCCCAGGACGTCTGTCTGGCAGGGAATGCCTGGGGGCCCGGGACCCATACTGTGGCTGGGACGGGAAGCAGCAACGTTGCAGCACGCTCGAGGACAGCTCCAACATGAGCCTCTGGATCCAGAACATCACCGCCTGCCCTGTGAGAATCCCTGTGTGTCCTCCCACCTCAGACCTCTCCTTCAATTCAGGCTGTGACTCCCCACCAGTATTGCCCCAATCCCCTGAGATCCTGTGACTTCCGTGCCCTTGCCTTGGGTCATAGGGGTACTGTCCCCCATGCGTGTCTGCAGGTGCGAAATGTGACACGGGATGGGGGCTTTGGCCCATGGTCACCATGGCAACCGTGTGAACACTTAGATGGGGACAACTCAGGCTCTTGCCTGTGTCGAGCCCGATCCTGTGACTCTCCTCGACCCCGCTGTGGGGGCCTTGACTGCCTGGGGCCAGCCATCCACATTGCCAACTGCTCCAGGTATGTAAGGACAGGGCTTGCATGGTGACTGCCTTGGACCAGGGTGGGGAAAACGGAAAATGGGGCCCCCTCACTCGGGTGTTTGCACTAAGGGACAGAAACCACTTCAGGGCTGTGCTGGGGACCGGATAGGTGGCTAGTGTGTGAGGCAGGAAACCTGAGCCCTGAGGGAGTTTCCATGCTAGTAAGAGAGAAGTTTCTACCTCTTCATGTCTCTTGATGCAAAGAGGAATGCTGGGCAGGCATCGGGGTCACTTCCAGATGAAGGTAAGCCTCGATAGGTCTTGTCTCAAACATAAGGGACAGTATGGGATGGTGGCAAGGCAAGGAAACCTGGTGCCAATCCCGGATTGCCACTGTCTGGAGGTGTGGCCGTGGCCAGGCCACCTAACCACTCTGAGCTTCTGTCAGTGAGGGTTATAGTACCCACCCAAGAGTTGTTGGGAGCATTAAATGAGATAAGCTTACACACTGCCTGGTGCCTGGGGACCTCATAAAATAACTAACCTATAATTTTAGACACTTTTTTTTTTTTTTTTTGAGACAGCATCTTACTCTGTTGCCCAGGCTGGAGTAAAGTGCTGTGATCATGGCTCACTATAATCTCCTGCCTCAACCTCCTAATTAGCTGAGACTACAGATGCCCACACCACACCCAGCAAATTTTAAAAAAAATTTTTGTAGAAACGGAGTCTTACTTTGTTGCCTAGGTTGGTCTCGAACTCCTGGCCTCAAGTGATCCTCCCACCTCAGCCTCCCAAAGCTCTGAGCCATGGCACCCAGCCTTGGCCACTCTTAAAACAACTATTTCATACACAATTATTAATGTAGCCCTCACAGAAACCTCATGGGGGTAGGAATACAGTCATTATCCTTACTTTAAAGTTAAGAGTACTATGAGGCACAGAAGGTTCTGGTAACTTGCCCAGGGTTTCACAGCCACCAAGTGGTAGAGCCCAGATTTGACAATTGGAGTCAGAGTAGCCACAAAGGAGTAGTGTCTGAGGCTGGAGCAAAGCACGCACAGTGTAGTACAGGGGACAGAGTGTGGGTTCCAGTGCAAGGATTGGGACTAACCAGGAAGGCTGAAACGGAAGCTACGGAGTGGAAAGGGGACTGGGGTGTTCTTCGCTAGAGTCTGCCCTTTTTCCCCTGTAAGTAGGGGCCATATCCTATCTCTATGTCCTTAGCCCTGAGCACAGCCTGATATATGGAAGAAGGCTCTCAATACATGGTTGAAGGAAGAATGAATGAACGGATGGATGAGCGAGTCTGCCTGAGATGACCTGTTTAGGAGAAGATATTTCTATGTCACTGTCCAGCTCTTTCCGACAGCAATAGAAAATCCATCGGCCCAGATACAGACTAGATCTAAAAAGCTAGGGCTCAGAGGGGCATCTGTGTCTGTCCCCTCTCACCCCAACAGGAATGGGGCGTGGACCCCGTGGTCATCGTGGGCGCTGTGCAGCACGTCCTGTGGCATCGGCTTCCAGGTCCGCCAGCGAAGTTGCAGCAACCCTGCTCCCCGCCACGGGGGCCGCATCTGCGTGGGCAAGAGCCGGGAGGAGCGGTGAGGGAGGACAGGCTTGGCCTGAGGTCCCAGACTTTCGCGGCCCCCCAGAAAGTGGCCTGGATTCTCCTCGTGATCCCGGGGACTCTCGTCCTTTCCACTCTTGCACTCCCAGGGACCTCTTGTCAGGGAAGGGGTCCCCCTCCCTAGATTGACTCCCCTCCCCCACCCCAGGTTCTGTAACGAGAACACACCTTGCCCGCTGCCTATCTTCTGGGCTTCCTGGGGCTCCTGGAGCAAGTGCAGCAGCAACTGTGGGGGCGGCGTGCAGTCGCGGCGTCGGGCCTGCGAGAACGGCAACTCCTGCCTGGGCTGCGGCGTGGTGAGGGCCGGGGCCGGGCGCGGCGTGGGGGACATGGGGGGCTCGAGCCCAGGGGAGGGAGGGTCCGGAGGCCGCGGAGCTCTGAAGCCGCCGCCGCCACACGCAGGAATTCAAGACCTGCAACCCCGAGGGCTGCCCCGAGGTGCGGCGCAACACGCCCTGGACGCCGTGGCTGCCGGTGAACGTGACGCAGGGCGGGGCGCGGCAGGAGCAGAGGTTCCGCTTCACTTGCCGCGCGCCCCTGGCCGACCCGCACGGCCTGCAGTTCGGCAGGAGAAGGACCGAGACGAGGACCTGCCCCGCGGACGGCTCCGGAGCCTGCGACACCGATGGTACCGCGCTGCGCCCCCCTCCTTCCTCCCTCCTAGCCCCGGAGCGGTGCGGGCGGGGTTGGGAGAGCCAGGGGAAGCCCGGGGCCAGGGCCAGGGTCGGGTCGGGGTGTCCGGGCCCCCAGTCGCTGAGGCCACGCCCCTCCGCAGCCCTGGTGGGGGATCTCCTGCGCGGCGGGAGCACCTCTCCGCACACGGTGAGCGGGGGCTGGGCCGCCTGGGGCCCGTGGTCGTCCTGCTCCCGGGACTGCGAGCTGGGCTTCCGCGTCCGCAAGAGAACGTGCACGAACCCGGAGCCCCGCAACGGGGGCCTGCCCTGCGTGGGCGATGCTGCCGAATACCAGGACTGCAACCCCCAGACCTGCCCAGGTAACCCTGCATGGAAGGAATCCTTGGCCCAGGGAAACCCTGTCATCCTGGAGACACCGCCCCCCTCCCACAAGGCCTACCCGGGAACCCCAATGCCCAAGTGACCCCTTTTTCCTGCCAACTCTGTGCTAGGGACCCCCAGAGCAAATTTCTGCCCCGGCCACGGATGCAATGGCTACTCCAGTGAAGTAGGGCCTCAACTTATCCTCCCTGTCCCTTTTTTTTCACCTTTCTTAATGAGTTAGGTAAGACGCTTGATTGGAGGTGGAGTTGGTTTCTCTCCCTCCGGATGTCTCTGCTGCTGCCTGCGTTTCCCCGCCTGCCCCATGGGGCGGGGTGATACTCCCTATCAGTGGACTGTTGGGTGGCTCTGTTGGGTGATGGGTGGATCGGTCAGACGTTGAGGTCACTGTGGCTCAGAGTGACCTGGCCTGGAATGGGGTGGAAGACCGTCTTGAGCCCCGCCTGCCCCTGTAGCCCCTCACACACTTTTCCCCTTGCAGTTAGGGGTGCTTGGTCCTGCTGGACCTCATGGTCCCCATGCTCCGCTTCCTGTGGTGGGGGTCACTATCAACGCACGCGCTCTTGCACCAGCCCCGCACCCTCCCCAGGTGAGGACATCTGTCTCGGGCTGCACACGGAGGAGGCACTGTGTGCCACACAGGCCTGCCCAGGTACGAGGCACATCCCGCCAGGGCTGGGAAGCACCATGGAGCCCTCTAATCCCCACCCGGGGGTCTCGTGGCAGTTCACCTCATCCCACCCACAACCCCCAGAAGGCTGGTCGCCCTGGTCTGAGTGGAGTGCGTGCACTGAGGATGGAGCCCAGAGCCGAAGCCGCCACTGTGAGGAGCTCCTCCCAGGGCCCAGCCCCTGTGCTGGAAACAGCAGCCAGAGCCGCCCCTGCCCTTACAGTGAGATTCCTGGTAGGTCTCCCTGCCAGCAACTGCACAGCAACCCTTCCCAGCCTGCACTCCCAGCCTCCTTCCCCTACTGAAGCTTGTGTCCTGGTGGGGAGAGGGAAAGTGGGGGCACAGGATGAAACATGGAGGTGGGAAGGAGATACCAAAAGAGAACTCCCATATTTGCCTCCATGCACACATTTGAGGTTTGGACCCTCCTCGTCCAGTGGATGGGCCAGCCCTTCTCAGAGTTGGGCTCTGGGGAAAGAGGGAGGGAAAGGAAGGCCCCATTCCCAGTCCTGCCACTGATCATTGACCTAAGGGTCCTCCCAGAGTTGCACCTACCCTGCAGAGCCCCCCTCCTCTCGTCTCCGCCCCTGACACCCTGTCCACTGGTCTTCCTGCAGTCATCCTGCCAGCCTCCAGCATGGAGGAGGCCACCAGCTGCGCAGGTAAAAGAAACCAGCCCTACCTCATGCTGCGGTCCTCCCACCCCTCCTGCACCCCACTCAAAGTCCGGATTCTTTCCACATCCTGCTCCAGACAGCCAGGCTTTGTTGGGGTCCCCACTGCTTTGAGATGGTGTGTAGGGTGGTCTGTGCAGTTCCCTCCATGCCCCCCACCTAGGAGGGCATTCTCAACCTGGACCCAAGGAAGAGTCATCCGACTCCAGACCCTCTGCTTGCCATCTCTGACTTGAGCCACAGGGTACCTTGTGAAAGAGGACCCCAATGACAGTCTCCCCGGCCTCCGCATTTCCTTTGGCTGTGGCCTCAGAGCCTCCTGTTGCTGTTTCTGCTCCCAGGGAGGCAGGCAGGAATCTGTCCTCTTCACAGTGGCCCTTATCTTACTACCTGCCTCTCTTCCCCCAGGGTTCAATCTCATCCACCTGGTGGCCACGGGCATCTCCTGCTTTTTGGGCTCTGGGCTCCTGACCCTGGCAGTGTACCTGTCTTGCCAGCACTGCCAGCGTCAGTCCCAGGAGTCCACACTGGTCCATCCTGCCACCCCCAACCACTTGCAGTACAAGGGCGGGGGCACCCCGAAGAATGAAAAGTACACGCCCATGGAGTTCAAGGTGGGAGCCTTTTTGTAGAAGCAGAGGGCAGGGTGGGAGGGCAGGGTGAAGAATGCAGGGGTTCTGGCCCTCTGCTGGGTGGAACCAGGCAGTGGTGGTGTGAACAGACCACTGGATCCGTAGTCTGAGTGTTCTTTCGCTGGCCAGCTTCTGGACTCCTTGCCCTGGCCTATTCCCTTCTTCTGTCTGTTCCCTCAACCCTTTCTCTGGTTCCTTCTTCCTCCCACAGACCCTGAATAAGAATAACTTGATCCCTGATGACAGAGCCAACTTCTACCCATTGCAGCAGACCAATGTGTACACGACTACCTACTACCCAAGCCCCTTGAACAAACACAGCTTCCGGCCGGAGGCCTCACCTGGACAACGGTGCTTCCCCAACAGCTGATACCGCCGTCCTGAGGACTTGGGCTCCTTGCCTTCCTAAGGCACAGAGCAGGTGGAGATGGGACAGTGGAGCCAGTTTGGTTTTCTTCCTCTGCACTAGGCCAAGAACTTGCTGCCTTGACTGTGGGGATCCCATCCGGCTTCAGAGAGCTCTGGCTGGCATTGACCATGGGGAAGAAGGCTGGCTTCAGGCTGGCACATGGCTGCAGGTCTAGTTCTGCCCAGGTCTCTCATGGCCACCTTGCAACCCACTGTCACGCTGACCCTCCCTTGCTGTGTCCAGGTTGTGGACCTACTGGGCATGTGAGGAATTGGAGAATGGAGATGGCAAGAGGGCAGGCTTTTAGGTTTGGGTTGGAAACAACTTCCTATGGCCTCCACAAGCTGAGTCTGGCCTTCTCCAGCTGGCCCCCAAAAATACCTGTGCTCCATTCTGATTATCTCTGAAAGTAATCAATCAAGTGGCCCAAGTAGCTCTGGATTTTCTACCAGGGTGGGGCCATTGTGGTGCTGCCCCAGTGTGACATAGGGGACCAAGGCCAGCACAAGTTGTCCACCTCTGCCTAGCCATCTGTACTCTACCTAGGGCATCCATCTGGTCAGAGGCAGTGAGGACTGGGAACTGGAGGCTGATCTGTGCTTAGAAGTCCTTTAATCTGGGCTGGTACAGACAGGCCTCAGCCTTGCCCTCAATGCACGAAAGGTGGCCCGGGAGAAAGAGAAGCTCAATGCCATAGGAGGCAGAAGTCTGGCCTCTGTGCCTGGATGGAGACTATCTTCCAGTTGCTGCTCAACAGAGTTGTTGGCTGAGACCTGCTAGGAAGTCTCCGCTGGCCTTTCATCTGTTCAGGAACGCGTGCGTGTGTGCGCGCGCACACACACACACACACACACAATTTGTTACAGCAACAAAAAAGATGTTGGGCTATGGCATTATTAATTAAAGATGATATCCAGTCTCCAAATGTCTCTGTGTATCTGTGCGTGGGCTCCTCTTGCATGGTCTAGGCAATCTGAGCAATGAACCAGGGTGGCAGATGGTCTTCTCAAGGCAGAGGAAATGTCCCAAGTAGCTATATCTTTAATAGATGATATCTTTCCATCTGTGGAATGGAAATGCACATGCAGTGCACACATACATTGCCCTACACCCTTTTTGGAAAAGACGCTGGGGATAAGCAAATTCACAAGTGGAGACATAAGGTAAACCAAAGGCAACAAAACAAGAGATTTCTGCCTGCTCCTTTAGCATCTCTTCCAGGCAACAGCTCCAGGGTGTGAGTCCAGCGGGAGAGTGTTGATGAGAATTATTTTATGAGATATTTACACTGCTGAGTTTAATAAAATCAAAATTGAGAAACAGGCAAATCTGTGACGTGGGAGAAGCCTAATATAGTTTTTGCTGGATTAAATAAAGATAACCTTAAAGCCTCAGCCCATCAAATCAATGCTGCCATTTTGGATGAGACTGACGGACATGTTAAATTTAGAGAGCAATTTCCTGACTTAATTGGCTGGATCAATTCTCCTAGGATTTGCAGCAGAATCCAATTGTAGGTCAGGCTGTAAAACCTGCCATCCTAGTGGTAGAGGAGGAGGAGGCTCTTGAGGAGTGGAGAGAGGAGTGCTTGAAGCTTAAAGTTTCCTAGAAGGAAGGAGGAGGAAATAACATGCCTGAAATACCAGCACAGTGAAGCCCCACCCGAGAGCTGAGGGAGCATATGAAAACTTGCAGCTTTGGGATTCCTGACTGGTTCCTCTTAGCCCCATGAATCCTGAACTCATGGGGGCCTGCAGGGCATTTTATTTATTTATTTATTTTTACATATTTATTTTTGGGATAGAGTCTTGTTCTGTCCCCCAGACTAGAGTGCAGTGGCTTGATCTCAGCTCACTGCAACCTCTGCCTCCCAGGCTCAAGTGATCCTCCCACCTCAGCCTCTTTTTTTTTTTTTTTTTCAAGAGATGAGGTTTCACCATGTTGCCCAGGCTGGTCTTGAACCCCTGGGCTCATTCAGTCTGCCCTCCTCAGCCTCCCAAAGTGTTGGAATTACAGGCATGAGCCACCGTGCCCAGCCAGCAGTGCATTTTAGATTCTGGGGTCTTAAGACCCTTGAACCTGAGGGTCACTGAAGTTCAACAGTGTTCTAGGGTCCAGGATGCCTGCTTCAGAAGGGCCCCTCATGGTATGTTCAAGTGGAGGGACTAGATGGGTCTGTAGGAAGTGGTCATGGAGACTTCCCAAGCAATTCCCACCCGCTGTTCACTGCAGTGGCATCAGCAGAATGCAAATCCTTGAGTGCCAGGTCAAAACACACACACACACACACACACACACACACACACACACACACACGCTGAATTCTCTTTAAAAAAATGTGGCTTTGGAGGCATGACCATGCAGAATGCATGAAGGATCCACACTGCTTGCAGATGAGCTGGCAAAGTTGGTAAGGGCTATTCAGTAAACAGCCCTGGCCCAGAGGTGAGGAAGCCCAGGATGTGCTCCCTGATAAGGAGGGTGTGGGAATCTCTGACAGATGTCAGGGAGCTGAGGCATGAAGGGCAAGGGGTTCTTCCTTGGCCCAGCTGGCTCAGCAGGAGTAAGGAAGATGCAGGAGTGGGTGCTCCAGGCTTTTTTGCATCCTTTTGTGTATAAATGACTTTTTGAGTGTGTGTGCATTTTCTTATTAAAGTCGTACAGGTTCATTGCAGAAAATTTAGAGGATAGAGAAAACCAAAAAGATAATCACAGTTTTACTAAAAACCAGGGCAGAGACTTAGGGATTTTAAATGGTGGCATAAAGACATTTATCCCCCTTTCTCTGAGAATCACCCCCCAAAAATATAATAAAAAACAAAAACTCTGTCACTATTTTCAGTAAATTTAGGAGGTATGTATAATCCCAAATCATGACCCATGAAGACAGAAAGCAGATGGAGGAACCAGGTATCCAGCAGAGTGGATGTGGGCCAAACTTAAGCATCCAAGTGAATGTTGGGGTAAATATTGAGAGGAAAATAAATAACTTCTTGTTTTCTCCTGATTATAACTATGGTACATGTTCACTAAAAATTTTTTGGAAAATAAAAATATAAACTTATTAAAAAGAAAACACAAATGCCTTAAAATCCAATCAGGAGACAACCATCATTATTTTAATATGTTCTTTTTCCAGGCATTTTTCTATGGCTCTGTACAAATTTGAGAGTGTTTCATAAACTTAAGATATACTATGTGGATGGTTTTTATTCTGATTTTAACACAAAACATTATATCATTATTTTCCTACATTGTTAAAAATTATCTTGGGAGGCCAAGGCAGGCAGATCACCTGAGGTCAGGAGTTCGAGACCAGCCTGGCCAACATGGTGAAACCCCATCTCTACTAAAAATATAAAAATATTAGCTAGGCGTGGTGGTAGGTGCCTGTAATCCCAGCTACTTGGGAGGTTGAGACAGGAGAATTGCTTGAACCAGAAGATGGAGGTTGCAGTGAGATGACAAGGTGCCATTGCACTCCAGCCTGGGCAACAGAGTAAGACTCCATCTCAAAAAAAAAAAAATTATCCCTAAAGCCTCAGGATCCCTTTCAATTTCTGCCCTAGGATGCGGCCAGGGAAAGGAGAGAGGGCTTAGTTTGCAGGACTCCACAAATAACAATGTATCCCACCCCACTGCTTTAATAAAATAAAGTTCAATTTTTATATATTTTGTTTATGCCACTAAGATTTACTTTGGAAAACATTTGCACAATGGTTGAAAAATCCTAACTTTCTGTTATATAAGTTCTATTTCTGTTACATAGAATTATCCATTCTACTACATACATTTATTCTCTATTATGTAAATGTGTCATTCTATTATATAAATGTATAATAATTTATCTAAACCACTCTCATTTGTTTCAAAATTTATTTTACCAACGAATACTATTACGGACCTCCTTCTATTATACATATTCCTATGTCCTTAGGATAAATTCCCAGAAGTGAAGGCTTGCAGGGAGCAAGAACTCGTCAGTGTTAGCCCTTAGGGTTAGTAGCCATGAAATGAGAATACACTGCTGGTGGAAGTGTAACATACCAATCCCCCGAAGAGAATTTTGGCCATAGAAGTAGCTGTGCTCCTCAGGCTGGGTCATCTGGGGAAATCAGGCACCCTGAAACCATCGTCCTCACACAGGAATCTGGGAATATGTCTTCCTCGGAGAGCCAATTGGACAGAGGCTTGCTTCTGCAACTGGCAGTGTTCCAAAAGGGGATCTTCCAGAAGACGAGAGACACCCCGCCATTTCTACCAAATGATGTGTCACTCACCTGGGTCCAGCATTTCAGGCACTCCCTAGGAAGGAGTCTTTCAACTGGAGGTCCACCAGGCCTGTGCTCACTGGGGCCCCAGCCTCCTCACAGGGCCCAGCTGTTCTGGGCCAGTCTGGCCTGCCACTCAGACCACTCCACGGCCCACAGCTATACCACTAGGTCACCCTGATGACTCACTGAGAACCCTGCAGCCTGGCCCCAAACATGCTCCTCAGGCCAAGCCTCTCTCCTCATCCTGAGCTGCCAACAGGGCACTAACTCACTTCTTGGGTGCCAGCCCTCTAATTCTATAGCTGTGCTGACTGTAGGAGGCTCAGGCTTTAGGGTTTGGAATATGAACTCTGAAATTTGTGGGAAAATTTATCTCTACCCATAAGGTCCTTCCAGTCACTCTAAAAGGGAGATGTTTTTCCTAGGTTTGTACCCCAGTTTCCAGAGCTGGTAGGACACAGGACCCCCACCATACTTGAATATCCTAATCAGTTCTGCCCAGCACTGAGCACTTTCAAACACAGAGGGTCCACTTCCCCCACCACCCCGATAAATCTCCCTTCTGAGATTCCTAGGGGTGTAGGCTCCATGGAGCTCACAGTACAAAAGGATGTACAATAAAAAGTGAATCTCGCATTCTTGATTCCTAGGCCCCAAGATCCTGTTCCATAAGGCACCTAGAGGTAGATCAGGGGCACATACACATATATGTATGTTTATTATGTGTATACATCAAGAGTTGGTTTTGGCCTTGATATTCAGCCAAAAATCTTTCAATTGGTCTTCAACCTCAGCTTTTGGAAGTCTCGGCAGCTGAATGCCTACCTCAATATTATTTATAATATCCCTGAGAGTTTGTGCTTAATCTACGGTCATGGTTACACAGGTTATTATATCTTTTTATATCTTTTTTTTTTTTTTAGACTGGGTTTTGCTCTGTTGTCCAGGCTGGTGTGCATTGGTGTGATCATGGCTTACTGCAGCCTCAGCTTCCTGGGCCCAAACAATCCTCCCACCTCAGCCACCCAAGTAGCTGAGACTTCAGGCACATGCCACCATGTCTGCCTTTTTTCTTTTATCTTTTTTTTTTTTTTTGAGACAGAGTTTTTGCTCTTGTTGCCCAGACTGGAGTGCAATGGCACGTCAGCTCACCACAACCTCTGTGTCCCGGGTTCAAGTGATTCTCCTGCTTCAGCCTCCCGAGTAGCTGGGATTATAGGCATGTGCCACCTTGCTCAGCTAATTTTGTATTTTTAGTAGAGATGGGGTTTCTTCATGTTGGTCAGGCTGGTCTCGAACTCCTGACCTCAGGTGATCCACCTGCCTCAGCCTCCATAAGTGCTAGTATTACAGGCGTGAGTCAACCCGCCCAGCCTGCTTGGCTCATTTTAAAAAAAAAATTTTGTAGAGATGGATTCCCACTATGTTTCCCAGGCTGGTGTCAAACTCCTGGCTTCACACCATCCTCCCACCTTGGCTGCCCAAAGTGCTAGGATTACAGGTGTGAACCACTGCACCTGGTCTATCATTACATCTAATCTGCATATCAACGTTAGTAATATGCATGAGGCACACCATTTAGATTTATTAATAGGTGATACTCACTATAAATATCAAATGAGTCCTGAAGTGAAATGAAAGTCTCTT